GGGCCTATGAAGCATAGACTGTCCCATAGTTACAGTGGGGCTGTTGGGGGCTCCGCCTCCTTCCTTAAAGGGCTAGCCCCCTTCCTTAAAGGGACCCCCACTTCTTCCCAAAAGCATTTAAAGGGATCTTTTAAATGATTTTGAGAAGAAGCGGGGGTGCGTGCCCCTCTCCTTTCCTCCTGAACAATTTAAAGGGCCCTCTAGCTGATCAGTGGGCCATGTGCTCCCTGCTGATCAGCTGAAGGGCTCTTTAAATCTTGCAGGAGGGGAGGGAGAGGAGTGCACACACCCCTTCATTATAGTTACCTATTCTCATGTCTCAGTTGGGACTTCAGGACGGCTCTAGTGCAGTGTTCCCTCTAAGCTGAGTTAGTGTGAGCTAGCTCACAGCTTTTTAGCCTCTGGCTCAAACATTTTTGCCTTAGCTCAGAAAGGATGGCTCCAGAGCACACTAATTTATGCAGGAGCCAAATCGCTCGCTCACAACATTAATGCCAGTAGCTCACAAAGTGGAATTTTTGCTCACAGGACTCCACAGCTTAGAGGGAACCTTGCTCTAGTGCATCTTCAGTATCCTGGATGGTTGACTAGACTCATCCAGCCCTCTGACTTTCATTCGTTTTTCTTGACCACAGTTAGGGACAGAGGTATGAGCATCAATTTACTTTACTTTAGCACTCCGTCTTTTTCCCAAGGTTCCCAAAATGCAGCAAAATCTTTAGCTGCAGGCCCGTAGCCAAGATCTTTTAAGTCAGGGGGCATTTAAATTCTTTGGGGGGCACTAGCACCAATGTCTCATATGCCAGATTTTCTCCTGTTAACCTTGAATGTTCGGGACAAATCCTGCAACGGCCCGGCAAGGAGCCCCGTGAGTTGGGAACTCTGACTTCCAAATGCTCTCTGGATCCCCCCCCCAATTCACCCTGATCCCTCCTCTCAATTCACCCCATTCTCTCTCCCCTAGCTGCTCCCTCTGCCACGTCTTCCACCACTGTGGTGCGTCCCTGTCTCCGGCTTACCAGGAAGTAACTGGGCAGCAGCAGCTGATCTCCCCAGAGCAGAGAGAGCCAAGGCAAGGAGGAGGCGTTTGCATCGGGCACTGCTTCATGCCAGCTTGGGGGCCTTTGAAGTAACTCTGGGCCCCTGACCTCCCCAGAGCAGACTGAGTTCCTGTACCGCATTGGGCACAGCGGGAACACCAGCCCTACCTTGTGTGCTGGTCCGCCTGCCTGGCTGCCTTGTGCTGCTGCCAGCTTGGGACCCACAGCCCCTCGCCTCTCCCCTGGCCATGAGCCCAGGATGGAGCGGGCAGGACTGGTGGCAGGTGGGGAAGTTGCTTCAAGCAAGCCCTGCTGGGGGAAGGGGTGGTGGCAGCAGTGGGGAGTCCTCCAGGCATCCCCAGAGAGTCAGGGGGGCTGGGCTGGAGGGGAACTCAGGGGGGGCTTGGAATGAAGTAGGGGGACCAGGTCCCAAAATGCCCCACTGTAGCTATGGGTCTGTTTAGCTGTATCCAAAGCATTGCCTCTTTCTCCTCTGATATCACTTGACTTTGCTCCTGAAGGGTCGGTATGTTCTTCCCTAGCTGTGTCCCTTCAGGGTTGCTTGTGTTTGCTTGATTCTGAGGGCTTTCTAATAGCCTTTTCTATACTCAGCATCCTTGCTGAATCTGGGAGCCCTCAGGTACCTGACCTCTCCTACTTATGGACAGTTCTAGGGTTCTTCTGTGGTGATCTGCATAGTTCAGCTACAAGTGTCAGAAGCTGTTAGGAATGGGCTTCATAGACCCTCCTGCTAAGTAAAAGCTTCCCCCCCCAACCCGTGCTCTTGGTAGGTACCTGTCTTTTGAACTGTTCTTACAGTCAGTTGGCAGAATAACAATACATAACAGCAAGAATTTTATTCCCCTGTTCTCCCCATTGGCAGCCCATCAACTCATTGATTATTGACTTGCTTAGCTTTCCCAACAAAAGAATTTCATGTAACCTCAGGTTATTCTCTATCCATCATGTGCTTCATACTCGTTGCCAGTTTTGTAGACCTTTGGTAAGAAAGTCTGACTTTAGTGAAATGAGGATTTTCTTCCATTTAATTTATAGTGGATGCAGGGTTTTATCCGAGACATTGTTATATTTGTTTAAAATGGAAGTAACTGCCGTCCAGTCACCAGTTTTTCCCCTCTTTTAAAAAACTGAGAGTTTCTGTGGTGAGACTAGGGATTATTAAGTTCTTGTGGTCTGTCAAACTATGAGGAATACATTTGGTTCCAGAGAGACAATGTCCAAAGTAATTCCATGAACATTCCATGTAACTGAGTGCTGGGTAGGTGGTTGGCTGTTTCAGAGCGTTACCAGGCTACTTGCTGGGTGTTTTCAGAAACTGTAGCACATTGTGTTTCCCTGAAATCCCAGTTATCCTTGGGAGCATGTTGCAAGAAGCAGGAAGTGGGAATGTTTTGCAATGATACAGTGATTTCTTTGCCAGAGACTTCTATGTGAAGTTCATAAGCTACTCAGGCAAGGCGTAGAGCAGTAAAACTCTGAACCCGATTGGAGCTTGAAACACATTTACACTCCACATTTAAACTGGTTTCATACTGATTTGACTGTAATAATTTTCCTGAATAACTACTGCAGTGTAGATTTGTGAATGGTAAACATTTCTTTGAGATTATTTGCCAGTTCACAAAACTGCAGTTCCTGAAATTTCATGGTCTGTCATCTCATGATATATAGGCAGGTTTGAAATTTGGTTCAAATTTGCATTGTAAATATACCACAGGCTTCTGAATTTCTTTCTAAGGCAAATGGAAGGTAATTAAAAGCATTGTGCCTTACTATCAGGCAGCAATGCTGAGTCTGTGACTTAGGCAGATCATGAGACAGAGGGCAGGAAGGGTTGCATCAGTGCTTAGTTCTTGTGGCCCTTTCTTACATGCCCAGGAAAATGCTGATTGCCACTTTGGGGTCAGGAAGCAATTTTTCCCCAGGCCACTTTGGCCAGAGATCCTGGAGGTGTTTTTTTTAAATCATCTTCTGGGCATGGAACAAGGGTCACTGGGAGTGTGGGGAAGAGGTATTTGTGAATTTCCTGCATTGTGCAGGAAGTTGGACTAGATGAGCCTGGAAGTCCCTTCCAACTCTATGATTCTATGAAAAATGGTTCCTCGGAGCCCTTGGGATGACCGTTGTAATCTATTAATTTTTCCAAGAAATCCTGCAGCTTCCCATTTTCTTGGACAAACTGCAAGTCCTGTACAACACTGCATTTCTAGACTATAGGCAGGGGTCATTTCCTGCAGGAGCGCACAGGAGTGGAGCTCCGGCAGTAAAGAGCCCAGGGGGCGGGCACATGCAACAAGCCCCACCCCCTGCTCCCAGCAGCCCTCAGTCAGAGCAAGAAGCAGCCAGGTAAGTTGCAGAGCCCCCCCCCCAGCTCTGCAGTCCAAAACAGTCCAGTGGAGCCTGAGCGGTGGGTGTTGCCTTCTGACACACTTCCGGGGATGTCAGAGGGTGTGGCACATGCAAATAAGTTATGCTAATGAGTTGTGCTAATGAGCTCCTGCACCTCTTTTTCTACAAAATGACCCCTGACTATAGGGATGTGAGTCAGTGTGGTGTCATGGTTAGAGTGGTGGACTAGGACTGGGGAGAACAGGGTTCAGATCTCCACTTGCCACAAAACTTACTGGGTAACCTTGTATCATTCATTCTCTCTCAGACTAACTTACCTCCCAGAGTGCCCTGACCTGGATAGCCCAGGCTAGCCCAATCACATCAGATCTCGGAAGCTAAGCATGGTCAGCCCTGGCTAGTATTTGGATGGGTGACCAAGGAATACCAGGGGCGTGACGCAGAGGCAGACAATGGCAAACCACCCCTGAAACATCTCTTTCCTTAAAAACAAGTCTGCTTCGCAACCTAGTGGTGCATAACGCTAAAGAACTAGAACATGTGGATGCCAGACAATCTTAGGATCTCCTGGCTATACTACACACCCTGCCCTACGATGATAATGATGATGATGATGATGATGATGATGATAACCTCCCAGTGTTGTCATGAGGATTAGATGGAGGAGGGGAGATCCATGTATGTTGCCCTGAGTTCCTAGAAGAAATGACAGAATAAAAATTAACTAAATAAACAAAAAACAAATAAATGTAGGCAAAACTGGTATGGCTTTGCTTACAGGTGGAGGAATGGGCAACACGAGATCCATACTGAAGGATTCAGAGTAGCCATTCAGAGTTGCAAAACCCAGCCCAAGTGGTTTTGAACATGGGACTGGGAACAGAGTCGTCCATCTAGAGTTGTCTGGCTAGAGTACCCTGCCTTTGTTGGTTTGATTCTTCCAGGGATTCTCCTTGCCTCTGTTGTTGTTGTTGCAGCCTGTGGTCTGCTGTTGTTGTTAATCATGTAGCACCGTTCACGTACATGACGTTTTACAACGTTAACATAAGCAGAACAAGGTAATAGGCTTTTGCCCCAGCTACAGTCTAAATTTCTACAGTATGAAAGAGAGACTGATGGGGAGGACTACTAGAGGGATGATTGTGAGAAGGTAAAGGTAAGTGTACAGCTTTGTTTTGTTTGAGGATCTGGAATGTAACCTGTCAGTATATGATTGGCACTTTAATTTTTTAAGCCGTTTGCTGCACTCATTCAGCTTTCTTCTTCTCTGCTCTTTTACTGCCCTCCTGTTCTACAGAGCCTTGTTTTCTGTCTGATGCAGCCAATGCGGAATTGCCTCTGTGTATTATATTGCTGCTATTGTTCCTCTGCTCGGTTTTGACAATGCTTGTGGCAACGGAGCCTGGATTTCTGAGGTTCCCTGAATTCCAGAGATTTCTTAGCTTGGGCTCTGCTGGAGGCCTCCTGCGACTTGGCCTCTCGCAGCTCATGCAGAACGAAATGAACTTGTGCAACTGTGAACCACATACCTCTGGCAAGGACTGACTGTGTCTGTGTTTTCTCTCACTCTTCCATTCTTGTCCTGCTTAGAATACAAGAAGAAATATGGGGAAGAGCATGGGTCGTGTCAGGCTGGCATAGCAGGTTTCTTAACGGAGGTAAGTAACGTCACTTTGGTTCCTTTGGCCGAAGAGTTTCCAGCTTTTTGCTTTCCACATAAAAATCACTTGACTTTGAGACCATCATTACACTGCAAATCGGCATACGGTGCTAGGCAAGAACTGTGGATCTCTTTAGTGCACTCATTGCGACTTTTTGCGCAGCACATAGCATTTGTGAAATGCAACAGATTCCGTCACTAAATAGCACCCCTCTCCTTTCAGTTTAAAAACTGAAAATAAAGAAGAAGTGTGGGTGGGGAAGAGAGAAAGGATGGACCGGAGAATGCTGAATTTTGAAATGCTGACCTCACAAGCAAAACAAAACTCAGAAACAAAATCTAAACAAACACAAGAAGCTCCCACGCATGGAGAACATTTTAGTTCTTCTCATTTGGAGGAAGGGAATGGTAGAAGGAGCTCTGAGTTAAGCCTGTACTGGGCCATGTGTTGGTATCTTCACTTGCTTACCTTGTCCTTCTGGCTCTGTGTCCCAGGCCCTTAAGCGGCTGCTGTGGTGGGAGAGTGGTAAGCCTCCTTGACCCAGGAAGCTAATCAAGTACCCGTTTCCTCAGCCTGGTTGAACTCTTGTGACATTTTCCTTGCATCCTCTCCAGGTCCACCTGTGGTCCTGTCGATCAGATGTGTGCTGCAAATTCCAGGCTCAGAACTCCAGCTTAGTGTAGAGGTTAGAGTGTCGAACTAGGATCTGGTGACTTAGACCCGGGTTTGAATCCCCACACTGCAATGGGCCAGTCATGCACTCACAGTCTAACCTACCTCAGAAGGTTGTTGTGAGGATAAAATGGAGGGTATGAGAAAAATGCAAGCCACTTTGGGTCCCCGTTAGGGAGAAGAGTGGAGTAGAAATGAATACATTACATTTAGAAGCACATGTCTGAGCAAAAGGGTCCCAGATGTACCTGGAGAAGACATGAGAAAAATGTAATGTGTAGTCAGTCCCTGAGTACAGGTAATGGCATCTTGGGTTGCAAGTCCTCCCCCCTTGGGCTTGAGCATTGGAGCAGCAGAAGAAAAAATGGAGGCGGTAATGACATCATAGCCCTTCATGCAACTCTCTTGGAATTTCCCCAATCTCTGTGATCTTTACCACAGAGAGAATTCCTGGAGCATCGTGTCTCCCTGTGTGTGACAGTGTTTCCAGGTGATCCCCTGGAAGTGATGTCACAGTGATTGTCATGTTCCCTCTCTCCACCCCATATCCCCCAAAAGCTCCTAAGATGTAATGCTTAGCTGTAAGTGTGGGAAACATCACCTTAAAAATGTACAAAATTGAAGTGGCTACTGTTTTAGATTTTGAATCAGTGTATGGATTCATAAAGTTCATGTTTCCTGAAGGTTTCAGGAGCACTAACTCAGGAAAACTTCCCCAATTCATATGTTCCCTGGCAGTTTCGGGAGCACTAACTCAGGAAAACTTCCTCCATTCCTGTAAAGGACATAAGAAGAGTCCTGATGGATCAGACCAATGGTCCATCTAATTCAGCATCCTGTCTCACACAGTGGCCAACCAGTTCCTCTGGACGGCCAACAACAAGGCATAGAGGCCAAGGCCTTCCCCTGATGTTGCCTCCTGGCTCTGGGATTCAGAGGTTGACTGCCTCTTAATGTGCAGTTTCCCCTCAGTCACCACTGCTAGTAGCCACTGAGAGACTTATCCTCCATGAATCTATCTAATCCCCTCTCAAAGTAGTTTATTCCTTTGGCCATCGCTACATCCTCTGGCAGCAAATTTCCACACCAATGTGAAGTAGTGTTTCCTTCCCTGAACCTACTGCCCATCAGCTTCATTGGATGTCCTCAAGTTCTAGTATTTTGGGAGAGGGAGAAAAATTTCTCTTTGTCACCTCTTCCACCCCATACATGATTTTACAAACCTCTAACATGTCCCCCCCCATTAGTCGTCTCTTTTCTAAACTGAAAAGTCCCAGACTCCTCAGCCTTCCCTCATAGGAAAGGTTCTCCAGCCACCTAATAATCTTGGTTGCCCTCCTCTGTACTTTTTCCAGCCCTGCAATGTCCCTTTTGAAATACGATGACCAGAACTGTACACAGTATTCCAAATGAGGCCTCACCATAAGATCTGTATATAGATCTCAATCCCTTTCCTAATAATCCCTGTCATAGAGTTTGCCTTTTTCACTGCTGCAGCATGCTGGGTTCACACTTTCATTGAACTATCCGCTATGACCCCAAGATCTTTCCCCCCCTCTATCTCAGCAAGTTCAGACCCCCTCAGCCTATACTTGAAGTTGGGATCCTTTGTCCGAATGCATGTCACTTTACACTTACCAACACTGAACTTAATTTGCCAGATTGTCACCCACTTACCAGTTTCTGGAGGTACTCTTGGAGCTCTTCACAGTCAGCCTTGTTTTTCACCATCCTGAATTATTTTGTGTCACCTGCAAACTTGGCCACCACACTACTCACCCCTAGTTCCAGATAATTTATGAATACATTAAATAGTACCGGCCTGTCGCGCTCTTGCTGCTCCCGAGCGGGCCCGCCACCTGTCGCCGTGACGTTTCAGCCAAGGACCCTCCAGAACGCGGGGATTACCTAGAGACTGGAGCGGGAAAGAGCCTTTTGGAGGAAGGCTTGCCTCAGATGCGGGACCATCAGGGGTTACATCACCTCCTTTGCCCGTGCTGGGTCTGGTCTCAACTGTGCCGGCTGCCTTGCTTCTCTCTGTCCTCAGCAGTCCGACCTCTCTCGCAACCAGCCCAGCGCCTCCTCCCTGGCTCGCCTTTCCCTCCTTTTTATTTTCCCCTCCGCTCCTGGCAATCCCCCCCCCCGCCCCGGCTGGCTGACCTGTAATTTCCTACTTTCCCTCTGGATCACTTTTTAAAAATTGATGTAACATTTGCTACTCTCCAGTCTTCTGTTGCTGAATTTAGTGGTAGATTACATGCAGGTTAGTAGATCAACTATCTCACACCTGAGTTCCTTAAGAACTCTTGGTTATATCATGCTATCAGGAACTGGAGGCTTATTGATTTTTAATTTTCCCAGTTGGTCTAGAACTTCATCTCTGGTCACCTCAATTTGGTTCAGTTCTTCAGACTCCCTTCCTGAAAATAGGGGCTGTGGCATGGGTACTTGGCCCACACTTTCCACAGTGAACAGAGAAGCAAAAAAGCCATTGAGCTTCTCTGCCATCTCCTTTATTCCTTTGTAACTGAAAGGCCCCACTGCTTCTCTGGTTGTTTTCCTGTTTCAGATATATTTAAAACAATGATTTTTGTTTGTCTTTATGCTTTTGGCAACTTGTTCCTCAAAATCTCGTTTTGCATGCATAATTATTGATTTACCTAATTATTGATTTACCCTTTTTTGGCAGAACGTGTGGTCTCTCCTGTTCAATTCATTGGGGCAGACCTTCCACTTTTAAAAAGAAGCCTCTTGACTTTTTATAGCGTCCTTGACTTGTGTTGTTAACCATGCAAATCTTCTTTTAGACTTGGCAGTGCTTTTCCTAACCTGTGGTATGAATTCTATTTGGGCTTCAATTAATATGGTTTTAAATAGCTTCCATGCATCTCTAGGGATTTGACTCTCTTGTGTTTCCTGTTCAGCATCCTTTTTACTATTCCTCTCATTTTTGTAAAGTCCCCTCTTTCGAAATCAGAAGTTACTTTAGGATAACTTCCCATTGACCTGCATGCTGAACTTAATAGCACAGCGGGAAGGAGGAAGAGGACTCCGAGAGTAGAAAATACCACAAGTATCTGTTTTTATTATTGCTGGGCTTCTTGACCATTGACGGGACTGGTTCCCCAAGAACCACTAGTGATGTTAACTGGCCACCTGGCACTGTCCTCAAGACTAAAAGACCGTACAGAACTGCACTCATCGTCTCTTGCTGTGTCTGTCGGGATTGGTGATATGACATTTTGGCATCCCTGGGGATATCACAGGGCTTACAGATGTACATCCAGAGAGCTGCAGCTAATTCCAGCATCCTGATTGACTGTACCTATGTGATACGCATCTGCAACAACATGTTTTCTGCATTAATATTTTACGTTGTACACTGAAAGTGTCTACTTCAGAAATTTAATTCATGGAGAAGCCCTAAGAGAACCACTGCTGGTTCATAATGAAGTTTTACTGGATAATGGAGCGTGTTCCCCTAACATACCTCTGTGGCTTTATTACCAGCTTTCATGCTTCAATGCTAAATTTAATAGAATGAAGTCTGCAGCATAAATGACTTCCTATTCTTGGGAACAGATTCTTGAGTGAAGAAACTTGCAAACAGCATGATTTGTGAATGGCACAGGCTCTTCCCCCATGTGCACTTTTCCAGGCAATAGCCATAATATGTTGGCATGTGCCCAGGGCTTTTTTCCTGGGGGAACGCACCAGAATGGAGTTCTGGAACCTCTTTGACAAAATTCTTTTTAAAATGTTTAAATGTTCATGAGTTTTCAGTATACGGATTGAAAACTTCATTTCCCTCTTGAGAGTTCTGGCACCTCTTTTTCAAAGAACAAACAAACCCCCCCCCCCCAAAAAAAAAACCCTGCATGTGCCCCAATTACAAATGACACTGCATGTGTTCTCCCTTTGGGAATAAGCAGAGGGATGCACATCCTGCATTTTTCTTCCATAATTGCACTGTGCAGGTTTGGATGCAAAACTCACCATCTTGAGAAATCTCAACTTTAATGCTCTATAAAAAGTTTCTTTTCTTTTTTTTGAAACCCCCGGAGGGGTATTTTTATTTTTTCAGTAAGACTACAAACTACAAAGAAAAAATATAGGAGGGGGAACTACAACTATGGATAAAGGAAAGATACCCACACTAACTAAAAACCCAAGAGTGGGAGACCCCCTTTGTGTTAAACTTAATATTAGTATTAAAAGAGTTAGTAAAACAATATACTTGTAGAGTTCTTGTTTTTCACATTTTCTGTATTAGTATATTAGTTATTATGAGAGAACTTTCTGGGCATCTTCTTTATTTCAAAGAGCCATTTATCAGAGTCCTTCTGCCCTTACTTCGGCTTTCTGTCTCTAAAATCATATACAGTTTTCATTGCTCCCGCACCCGCTTCTGCAGCATTTCTAATGCTCTCTTTTGAGGGACCGGTGTGGGTGGGTGGGTTATATTCTTTGTTGACATTTATTCCCGCTTTTCTTTAGTAACATATTTGCTCAGAGCAGCTAACAGTCCCTTCAAAAGCACATCAGTGGGGGAAAAAAACTGTACTAGATAAGTGTAACAGGCCAGCACTTAAAAAACAAACAAACCCAACCATCCAGTAAAATAAAACAGAAAACAAAACGGCAGAGGAGATCAGAGTAAAGCAAATTAACCCAAAGGGTATGAAGAAATAACAGAGTCTTTGCCTGGTCCCTTAATGCCAGGACCAAATGTGTCAGGCCTACTTCAGAAAGAGTTTTTGAGCGGGTCTAATACTGTATGTTAAGGAGCTGCAGTGGCTCAAGTGGTTAAGACGCTGAAGGCTGTGGAAGGTCGGTAGCTCAGCAGTTCGAGACCTGAGTGTGCCGCATGACAGAGTGAGCTCCCGTCTCTAGTTCCAGCTCCTGCCAACCTAGCGGTTCGAAAGCAAGAAATTGCAAGTAGATAAATAGGTACCACTTCGGTGGGAAGGTAACAGCATTCTGTGCGCCTTGGTGTTTAGTCATGCCGGCCACATGACCACGGAAATGTCTTCGGACAGAACTGGCTCTTCGGCTTTGAAACGGAGATGAGCACCGCAACCCTAGAGTTGGATTCGACTGGCTTTCGAGCAAGGGAACCTTTACCTTTACCTTAATGCTGTATGTTATCTGTGAGCACCACCAACTACGCCTCATGTGGCAGGGGGACCAAAAGAACAGTCTGAAGTGAAGTGTGGATAGGCAGCTTCATGTGGGAGCAGGCTGGGTCTTCAGATACCTCAAGGCCAGACTTTAGGCTGTCTTTAACTCACAGGAATAATGCCTCTTGTTTCTTGCATTCTGAGAGGAGGCGAGGTAGGAAGCAGCATTTACCTCCCTTTTATAACCTCCTCCACTCTTCTTCTTGTTGCCCCTTTTAAATGTGGCCCTCTGAGGGCCATTCAGCAAACCTCAGCCCTCCCCCCCCCAGCCCTTTGCAGGGAGGAGCAGGAATCATATTCTCATACCCTGGTTTGTCATCTTTGTGCTCTGACCCATACCTCCACCTCAGCTGTATGTCAGAGGGTTACTGTAGGCCTGCTATAAGTATACAATTGTTGTAAACCTTTGCCCCTGAACTGATCACACACTATGTAGAGGGCACAGATTGGTCTCATATGATGTACTTTATCACAGAAGAGATCATTTGGCATAGAATCAAATATGTAACGTGAACCAGCTTTAAATTAACCAACAAGGGGTGTGTGTGTGCATGGAATGATCCTCTTTTTCAGAACATTGTTTCTCAGGGGTCCCTCAACATACCAGTTTGGTGTAGTGGTTAAGTGCACGGACTCTAATCTGGGAGAACCAGGTTTGATTCCCCACTCTTCCACTCGCAGCTGCTGGTATGACCTTGGGCAAGCCGTGGTTCTGTCAGAGGTCTTCTCTCAAGGGCAGTTCTCGAGAGAGCTCTCTTAGCCCCACCCACCTCACAGGGTGTCTGTTGTGGGGAGGGGAAGGGAAAGGTGATTGTAAGCAGCTCTGAGATGCCGAGTGAAAGGCGGGGTATGAATCCAATCTCTTCTTCTTCTGCTGCTGCTGCTGCATGTTGTGAGCCCAGATTATCCTGATGGCATGCTGTTTTACTCTGAAATCCTAATTTTTGGGCTGAGGACAAGGTTGAGTCTCAAACACTTATTTGCTTCATCTTGTAATGTTGGAATGTAATTTTAGTGTGACAACACTCTTCTTTGGGGTAGTGGTTAGAAGTGCGGACTCTAATCTGGGAGAATCGGGTTTGAGTCCCCACTCCTCCACATGCAGCTGCTGGTGTGACCGTGGGTCACCTACAAGTTCTTTCACAGCTGTTCTCTCAAGGGCATTTCTCGAGAGAGCTCTCTCAGCCCCACCTACCTCACAGGGTGTCTGTTGTGGAGAGGGGAAGGGAAAGGGATTGTAAATTGCTCTGAGACCAGGGTTCATTTCCTTCAGGAGCACCCAGGAGTGGAGCTCTGGCAGTAAAGAGCCCATTCTTTCTTTCCCTCCTTCTTTCCCTCCTTCTTTCCCTCCCTCCTTCTTTCCCTCCCTCC